TTCCATACAGAACTGCTGTTAGCTTTTTTTTTTGGTAGGGCTGGTGTGGTGATATGAACTCTCTCAGCTTCTGTTTTTCTCAGAATGTTTTAACTTCACCCAATTTCTTGAAGGTAGTTTCATTGGGTATAGTATTCTTGGTTGACAGTTTGTTTTTTTTAGCATTTTAAATATATTATTACATCATCTCTGGCCTCCAATGTTTCTCAGGAAAAATTGGCACTTAATCTTATTGACAATCCTTTATATGTGATTATTTGCTTCTTTCTCACGGCTTTCAAATTCTCTTTTTATTATTAATTTTTAAGAATCTCACCATGATGTGTGTTCAAGTAGATCTCTTTGATTTTATCTTGCTTAAGGTTCATTAAGTTTCTTGGATTTGTAGATTCATGTCCTTCATTAGATTGGGGAGATTTTCTGTTATTATTTCTTCAAATATTCTTTCTGTCCCTTTCTTTCATCTCCTTCAGGAATTCCCATGATGTTTATATTAGACATCTGTTGTTCCATAATTCCATTAAACTGTGCTCAGCCTTCTTGAGCCTCCATTCTTGTTACTCTTCAGCATCTGGAATTTTAACTCGTATCCTCTTATTCACCGATTCGTTTTTCTGCCTGACTAAATCTGTGGGTAAATCCTACTATTGTGTTTCTCACTTCATTTATGATCATTTTCAGTTGCTGTATTTCTTTTTTATAGATCCTCATTTTGTTCCTGCATTGTTTTTCTTATCTATTTTACCTTTTTGTTTCTGGTTTCCCTCAGTTCTTTAATTATGTTTAATATTTTTTAATTATATTCTTCCTTTTTTTTCCATTACTTGGTCAACCCTAGATGTGCTTTCACTTCCTTTGTCATGTTCATTTGATGGGCCATTGTTTCTCTGTTCTTTGTGGATCTTGTGATTTTTTTCCTGTGAAATTAGATTTTTCAAGAATGTCAACTTTCTCAGTTTTCCCCAGTATTTGGTGGTTTTGCCCATACTACTTTCTGCAAGAAATTCTTACATGGGAAGAGCCTTTGATCTTTGCTTATTATTTCCTTTCCCTCTCTTTGATAGCTTTCTCTCTCCCTGGTTTAACTAGGATTTAAAAGTTCCAGATACCATTCTTCAATTTTCATTCTCTTCCCAAAACACCAGAGAACATGCTGTGGTTAGTCTGTCCACCAGTGAGCACCACCACTCAGGCAACATATTATTTACTAATCGATCTGCCCAACAGGGGCTGAAGTCTCCTCTCTCTGGTTATTCCCCTTTTCTCTTCTCTGTTTCTTCAATCATGTTTTTAGTCATAAAACCCACACCCAGCAAGCCTCCTTTGGGGCTTGGTGTTGCCTTCCAGTTCTCCCCCAAGATTTCCTCCCCTGTGGTATGGGGGCTGCTTATATTTAAGCTGGCATTTAGGGAAGCACAGACAGACTGTCTTCTGTTTTAGGAGGAGGGACTGGCATTCCCCAGCAGGACCTCTGAGAGATCTGTCTTGTTGGTCTCAGAGCCCCAGTAGCCCTCTGGTGACCACTTAGGTGACCCACCTCCACTGACTCCACTGTAAGGAATCTTCTGTAGGACTTCATATCAGTCCAGCAGCTGACAGTTACTGTTGGGAAAGGGGTAGTCACTCTCTGAATGGACTTCCAGAGTGATCTGCCTTGTTGCTATCAGAGCCTGTTTTGTAATATGTTGGTTGTGGGTGCAGCCTCCACTCAAGACATCTGCTTCCTAGCACACAGTAGCCTCAGTTAGCAGTCCTCCATGCCAACAGTAAGGGGGAGAGGACAAATCCAAACAGATCCCCAGGTAGGTCTGTCTTGTTGGTTTCAGAGGCCTGAGCTTTGGGGTACACAGGGAGACAGGTAGAGTGCTGACTATGGGAGCAGACTCCACTGCAGGGGCCTTCTGTAGCAATTCACAATAGGTTTGTAGATAATAATGTCTAGGTGGGGGAGAGGCTATCACATACCAAACAGACCTCCAGGGAGGTCTGCCTTGTTGCTATCAGAGCCACTTCCCCAGAATATGTTGGCTGTGGGTCTAGTCTCCACTAAAGTTGTCTGCTTCTTAGCATACAGAAGCCTCAGTCAGCCATCCTCAGCACTGACTGAAAGGGGGAGCAGATAGACCAGAACTGACTCTTGTTGGTTTCAGAAGCCTGAGCTACAGGGTGCACAGGGAGCCAAGTAGAGTGTTGACAATGAGAGTAGAGTCCACTCTATGGGCCTTCTGTAGCAATTCTCAATAGGCTTGCAACCAACAATGACTGGATGGGGGAGGTGCTGGTACATTCTAAACAGACCCATGAGGAAGTCTGCCTTGTTGATGTTAGGGCAGAAGCTTGAGGTCCTGTCTCTGTACAGGCAGAGGATGTGGTGTTTAGGTAAGTAACTCATGTTTTTAAGCACTACACATTTCATTATATAGACACACAGTCACAGCATACTGTTTAGATAGCCATCATGTCATTGGTGTTTTACAATTAAAATAGATACATTCACTCCGATTTGCTTTTCTCTTTATAGCTCCATCTGACAGGCAGATATAATCATCAATATAAATCACACATATCTCATAGTGTTCACTTAGAGACCAAATTTATCACATAGTAGAAATAAGGTCATTTTTCACTTGGTATTAATTGCAGAGATATCAAGCTTCCCATTTCCCTAACTTCTAAGCACCCCTAACTGTTAATTATTTACAGAGACTTTATATGGAGACCCTGAGTAAAACAAATAGTTAATGCACTCAGCTGCTAACCAAAAGATTGGAGGTTTGAGTCCACCCAGAGGCACCTTGAAAGAAAAGCTTAGAGATCTACTTTGGAAAATTCAGCCATTGAAAACCCCATGGAGCACAGTTCTACTCTGACACATGTGGGATCACCATGAGTAGAACTCAACTCAATTGGAATTAGATTCTTATGTCCCAAAATCCATTGGAATACAAGTTCAGTAGGCAACAATTTCAGTAGTCATAGGCAATAGATTCAGTAACTGAGGATCAACTGGATTTATATCTGAACTACCCATATTTATAATAAATGCTACATTGTACCAATCACATGAAACAGATTGCTCTCTGTGGAGGCAGCCAACTCTTTTGCTGTGTGGCAAGTCTTTTTAAAATCCCTCATTTTGCTTCCTGGCCTTCAGGTTTTCATGAAATTCAAAATAGAATAAACCCTATTGTGCTAGCAGAATCTAGAAAGAACATATAACTGATGCTAATGTTCTTCTACTCTCTGGGTCATTGAGCTGAGTGACTTTGGACTAGGCTCTTTAGCATCTCAGTTTCCTCAACTGTTAAATGGGACAGTTGGAGGAAGTGATTTCTAAAGTCTCTTCCAAGTCTGTGTCTCAATAATTCCATGAAAATTGCCAGGCCTTGAGGATCATGGTAAACCAGGCAGCACATTCCCTACTTTTGGCCCAGAGAGCAGATCCCAGGAATTGTTGAAGAACAACACCTCACAGTAAGTCTTAAGATTGAAAAAAAGGGATGTTTTATTGGTTGACAAATAAAAATATTTGAAAAAAGTCACAGAATGTTCAGAAAAGGTGAAATACAATGTGCAACAATAGCAAGAGTACTGGTTTGGAAATCAGACAACCTGGATTCAAATCTCACCTCTGCCAATCTATATAATCTGCCAATCTATATAATCAGCCAGCTGTATAATCTTAGAAAAGCTACTTTACTTGTTTAACTCTTGAATTTTCTTACTTATAACATGTATAGAATAGTATCTACCTAGTGGGGCTATCACATATATAAAACATACATGCACTATCTTCCTCCCGAAGCTTACAAAGCACAATACATGTGAAGCACCCCAGAAAAGCCTCAGTACCCCTGAGCCTGATGATCACAATCATCCCTGGGACTGGACTTGGCCATGAAGTTTATGAGGAGAACACTGGGACCAGGAAAGACTAACTCATTTACCAAGGTGGATTAGGGCACTGGCAATGACAGTTGAGTATAGGAGAAAGGAACATGGATGGAGGGACCTAATGGTGGGAACAGGATTATAAAGTACAGCATAAAGATATAGTCAAAGTCAGATAGCAGCAGGAAGTGTGATGTTCCAGGTGCTGGACCTGGAAACAAGATCTCAACCAGGAGAATTTGCAAGACCTTACTAAGGTGTCAGGGAGTGGTGATGGCGTAGTGCCTATGGCATTTGACTGCTAACCAGAAGGCTAGTGGTTCAAACCCACCAGCCACTCCTCAGAAGGAAGGTTGGGCAATCTACTTCTGTAGTGATGTTGTTGTTGTTGTTGTTATGTGCCGTCAAGTTGGACCCAACTCATAGCGACCCCTCCTTGGGTTTCTGAGGCAGTGTCACTACGAAAGTAGATTGCCCAACCTTCCTTCCGAGGAGTGGCTGGTGGTTTGAACCGCCAGCCTTCTGGTTAGCAGTCAAGTGCCTTAGGCACTATGCTACCAGAGCTAGTGATACCACCTCAGAAACCCAAGAAGGGGTTACTGTGAGTCGGATCCAACTTCACAGCCGTGCATTGTGTTTGTGCTTAATAAGGTGTCAGGTCCTCAGAAAAGGCGGTTGGGGATTCAGACAGGATTCTAACCCAGGAGGCAAGTATAGTGGTAAATGTGAGTGAAGCAGAAGGTGGGTCATATAGGTGAAGCTGATGGGGAGGGCTTGGGGACAAGCTTGAGTTCTATTAGCTCATGGTCACATGGGGTTCACCCCAGCTCCCCACCTTGGATGGACACATCTGCTAGGAGGTCAGTGGAAGGAATCATGGCCAATAAGACTGTTGCTGAGGGCTCTGGCAGAGCATCAGGAAGGAGCCTTGTTTGTGTTGGAATTTACTGAACCAACCAACCGGGCTCTTCTGCCCTCATATACCACCATAAATTGAGAAAAAGAGCAGTGACTCACAGGGGTTCTCACTACTACCTGACCAAGGTGGAAAACTGGACCTACCCTTCTGAGGAGTAATAACTGTCCTCCTCTCTTTTCTACCCTCCCAGTGAAATCCAACCCAATGCCACTGTGCAGTGGGAAGAAGTATTCCGGCCTTGGGTCTCTGGTCCTCGGAAGCTGATGGCCAGCCTGACGAGTGACACTCTGAGACACGTGTATGGTGAGCTGGACGTGGAGATTCAGAGACGACCTTCTGTGTAAACACATGGGAGGCTGAGGTGCACCAGGCACTTAGTCTCTTATAGTCTTGGCCAAGGATGTTCTAATGTACAAATAATCAGCTCTTGCTTTAACTTGGGTGCATAGGCCAAATAACACCAGATAAAACCCCAGAGTGGAGGTGCCTTCTGTTCCAAGATACACTTTTCCAAACCCAGGCTATTCAGCATGGAAGTCAGTTTTTAATCGCCAGCTTCCAAAGCATTCTGAGCATTAGCTTTAATTAAGCTCTAATTAAGCGCTCATAGCTCATAAGTGTAAAAGTCATCATTTATCATCACAAATGGCTAGAACTTCAAGTATAAGAGGACTTCCCTTAGCCCAGAGATTTGCCCAATACATGGCCTCATTTAAAACAAGACTTCTGATTCCTTACTCAGCCCCGTAGGAGTAACACATTCCCCAAAAAGGAGGGAAGCAAATGATTTGGGCCTTTGAACTCTATTCCCTTTTCTTGGATTTAGAATACCTGTGTCAGAATATTTTTCCCAGGAATTGAGCACAACATTTTTCTTGTTGGCAAAGCCACAGAAAGGTCTTTTATCTTGCACCTGCAGCAAAGTGACTGCCTGCCAATTTTCACAAATTTACCTTGAGAAAAGATGTGGCCCCATATTAACATATTGCATTTGTGGAAAACTTAATCACCTAAGAAAAGATAAGAAAGCAAATGCAATCAGGGTCTTAGCGAGGGTAACAAGCACCAGAGGCAATCTCTAAGTTGTATCCCTCTCCCAATTTCAAGATGAATAGTTGATAGTGGTGACACAGTGGTGCATCAGCAGAAACTGGTTGCCTCAGTCAGGCAGCTTTCATATTTGTGGCACCTCGGAATGGCATTCCATACCTCATCTTGTACCACTTTAGACTTGCACCCTGGGATAAATGCTCCCCTCTACACCCCACCACACCCCCTCGCCACACCTCTGGATGTCTAACATGCTTAAGGAAGGACATTGGGCCATATTGGGTTAACAGAAACTGCTTAGTTGCACCCTGCCTCAAGTGGCACTCAGAATATGTGCCACACCTGCAATACCTTAGGTATGCCCCTGAGTGAAATGATCAAATATATTAAATAATGTAGTTTTATTGTGCATTTTATAGGAACTGTCATACTGTGTCCTGATCAGGGAACCAGTATTCTTTATGTTAACCCTTTCTGAGATACAGTACTTGAAATTGAAGAGGCTGGTTTAGGACAGGAAGAAGGAAGGATTAGTCTCCTTGATTTGTGATTGTACTTCATCTCTCTCTCTGGAGTTACCTTCTTTGCACAACAATGCAGGCCCGGGCTCTTTGGTAGACATAGAATAAGCGCAACACACTGGAGGAGCTGGAAAATTTAGTGAGCAAATGTGTGGGAGTGTTGGCTGCCACTAACACTTTCTTGTCCTTTACGTGCCCTATGCGGAGACCTCAGCTGAGCACTCAGGTGCTGAATAGTAATACGGGCTCCACCTTGGAAATAGCCAATGGGTTCAGATTCAATGCCAGAGGATGCTGACCCCACTTGTATTATGCACAAGACTCCAAGTGACAAGGCTGCCTGGTATTTATTTGCAAGTTTGATTTATGGTCAACATTTTCCAGTAATATGTGTTGGGTGTGATTTAAGTCACTAGACTGTGCTCCTTTGCAAAAAAAAAAAGAAAGAAAGAAATGGACAGTATGAAATAAACTAGAGGAAAACTGGAGAAAAATGTCCTGGTCAGTATAACCACAGTTTTAAGCCTCTGAGTTTGTTCTTTGAGACTGAGCCTGAGCCTTTGGCACCAGGAATCTATGAAGATCAGCTGGTTCTCACTATAGGTGCATAGTATGTACTCTATTAAGTAATGTTGTGGCATTTTCCAAGCTTTCAATACCTAATTTTAAAATGAAATGCATTTTGCTGGACTATTAAACTGGCTTGATTTCATGTATTCTTATTAACTAGAGTGTAACTGAAGCTAAAAATAAAGTTAATCTGATTGTGCTGGCACCCACACAGAAGTGAGCTCTCTTCATTTTCAGGATAACATAATACTAGCTCAAAAAATCTTCCCCCTTCAACAGTAGACAGTCCACCCTGGACAGAAAGACAAATATTGCTCCTTTAGAGAGAATTAACTCTACTAAGTACTGATGTCACAGATAGCTTCCCTCACTTCACTCTCTAAATATCATTAACAGCATTCACCAAAGGTAGAAGTTTGTGTATTTAGTACAAAAACCAGTTTCCAGAAACTAAAATCTCCACATGATCTAAAATCTCACAAACGAGTTCATAAATCATTATGGTGAATACCTAAAAAATAAAAAACCTCACTTCTGTCAAGTCAATTGTGACTCATAGCGACTTCTCCTTGGATTTCCAAGGCAGTATCTCTTGGGTTAATAGAAACTGCTTAGTTGCACCCCTCTTCAAGTGGCACCCGGGGTATGTGCCACATCTGCCATACCATGGTATGGTATGCTTGTCATGATATGCTTCTGGGTGAAATGCTCAAATCTTTAATAATGTAGTTTTACAGTGCATTTTATAGGAACTTTCATACTGTGTCCTGATCAGGGAATCAGTATCCTTTATGTTAAGTAGATTGTCCAATCTTCCTTCAGAGGACTGTCTGGTGGGTTTAAACCTCCAGCCTTCTGGTGAGCAGTCAAATGCCTTAGGCACTACACTACCAGAGCTCCTTATATTCATGACAGATATCACTAATCAGTTGAAACTCAGATTAGTGTTCATAATCTTTCTCAACACTGTACTCTAGGCAGCGACTACTAACTGATTGAAGTTGCCATCTGAGATGAAATCTAATTGCCATCCCTGCCTTAGAACTAGTTCATCCCTTTGACACTATTACCCATGTTTCCCACAAGCAGTACACTCCCATAAGCAATAATGCCATTGCTCTAAAAATCGTATTTTAGCAATGCTAACAAGCAGTGTGTCTCAGATAGCAAAAAAAGGCTCTGAATTCTATAGTCTGCCTGCGCTCATCCTCTATGTTTCTGTACAAATCCCTATTTGTGTTTAGACTTCAAAGGCATAGGAAGGGTATCAATTCTTAGTGTTACTGGAATATACTTCTAGGGAATATAGCAAACATACCTTAATAATTATACATACACAACTATAGATAGACAGATGGACAAACAGATATTATGTATGTAAATTATACATACACACACACACATATATATATACATATATAGTGGTGCAGTGCCTAAGGCATCTGACTGCTAACCAGAAGGTTGGCAGTTCAAACCAACCAATCCACAAAGATTTACTGCCTTGGAACCTCAATGGAAGTCACTATGTGTCAGAATATACATATATATATATTTGTTGTTGTTATTATGTGCTGTCGAGTCAGATCCAACTCACAGTGACCCCTCCTTGGTTTGCCAAGGCA